CTCTTTACCTTTCGTGTTGCTATATTACATTTGCTTTCTGGGCCTTGCCTGGCTTCAATATTAGGAAGAAGCTGTGCCATGCTAAGGCAGGAAACCCTGCCCACACACACACACTCACTGCCCATCACATGCCGCAAGGACACACACACCTCTGCCTGCACACGAACCGCACCCCTGCACTGCCCGCGCAACACCGTGACCAGTCCAGCTGGACCCAGGACTCACTGCAGGACTGACACATGCTGCGGGAACTCCACTCACACTGCAGAGACAAAAGACTGGAGAACGACATAACAGAGACTCACTCCATCACCAAGGACAAGATCCACCGTTTAGTTTCATGGTGGCGGTAACGCTGTGCTTCTAATAATTATTCTTAGCTTTTCCCACTTTTCTCTATTTTTCCTTCTTTCTCTCTCTGCCTTTTTCCTATAGTTAATAAAGTTGAATTATTGTTTGGATACCAACATTTGACCTCATTTGTGTCTTAATCTCACTTTCGGGTATATTCGAACTTAAAATTCCTTCCCGGATTTACAGATAGAGGCACACTTCGCCTCTCTGTACCTAAGTGGGTTGGAACACCTTCCCCTCACCCTTCCCTTCTTCCTGTGTTCAATTTCACTTCCAATTTCTCTAACTCCTCCTCCCAAGCAGCACAGCTGTTCTGCAGCCTTTTTTTCCCTTTCTTAAATATGTTATCCCAGAGGCATTACTACCATCACTGATTGGCTCGGCCTTGGCCAGCGGTGGGTCCTTCCTGGAGCTGGCTGGCATTGGCTCTGCTGGACATGGGGGAAATTTCTGGCAGCTGCTCATAGAGGTCACCCCTGCAGCCCCCTCCACTACCAAAACCTTGCCACACAAACTCAATACAGTACTGTATACAATGCTGCACACCACTGTGTTCAAGAGTTATTTTTAGCTATCAGAGTCACGGTTTTTCATGGTACACTAAAGTCTGTAGTGTGTAAAAATACATTTTGAGAACATGAGCTCTGTATTAAGCTAGATCTAAATGGAATTTAAAAAGAAAAAATAAGAATACCTATGATGGAATGAATCACGGACTCCTGACTTGATGGACAGAAATCGCCTTATTGCCCATGATCCAGGGGTTTTATCTCATTCACTTTCAGCTGGGAGTGGTTAAGCAAATTAAGACAGAACACAGCTGCAAGTCACACATCCATCACTCTCTCAGGCCGGCCCATCATGCACACCACACACACAGATCTTGGAGTTTCAAGTTACCCCTCTTCACATGCCCGCATGGTGAATCACAAACAGGAGAGTTCAGCTCTCCCTGGGAAGTAAATCATGGCTTAAAGAAAACAACACAAGGTCATCTGAACATTCTTCAGGCCTTTTTCACACTTGACTGCTACATCTCCCCCCTTTCTGTATTCAGCACGACGGAGGAAGACAGCTATCACTTGGCACTCGATGATTACGCTCAATGGGAAATTTGATGTAGGCACTGCAAAACTTAGCAAAGATTACTACAATTCACACCACGATTTACTTCTAGTTTACAAGGCATGTCATCTATCATCTAACCACATGATAGCAGATTCTAAGGCATCTAAACAAACCATTAATTAACTTGCCTAAATTCATGACTCTTGCAAGATGTTATTAGAGGCAGTGTAATCTACACAGATTCTCATTAATAAGGTGACTGCAACAGAGGCAGTAACTAAAGTAACTACTGCTGATATGATACAGAATAACTAAGCAAAACAGACCTTAGATGCAGAAAATATCAAGGTCAAATAAGCTAAAAGGATGTTGCCAGGGGTTTATACTGCACCCACTGTTGTCATGATACATTATACTTGCTCATCTAGAAGTTCGAGTCAATCCCAGATAATGCTGGTGTCACTGGTCATCTGTTCTCTCTTCCTGGCTCTGTTGTTCCAAGGTATCACCTGCAGGCCCTGGATTTCTGGAAGTGGATTCTGCAGTTCGTCGTTCCAGCTCGTGATAAGGCTGTATATATTTAGCTGGCAACCACATAGGTCCTGCAGGAAGAAGGACACATGCGTACCCTCTTCTCCAAGTAATTAGCTCAACAGGTCCTTCCCACTGATGTGTCTCAGGATCTTTATACCAGACCTTTGGTTTAGATGCTGAAAAGGGTTTTGCTGAAAAATGTCGCTGTACTGCAGTAGTTGGAGAGATATTGTCCTGCATATTCAAAAAATTTAAAACATACAGGGTTTTTTGTACCCGATCACGCACTGAGGTTAGGGTTTCCCCCCTTTTTTATTTTCCTAGCATCGCTTTCAGAGTGTGATGAGTACGTTCCACAATAGTTTGGCCCATGGGAACATGAGGGAGACCAGTAACGTCCGTGACTCCCCAGTCCTGCAAAAAATGCAGCATTGAAGCAGCCGTGTAGGCAGACCCATTGTGTGTTTTGATAGATTTTGGCACACCCATGACTGCAAAAGCAGCGAGCCAGTGGCTTCAAGTGTCTTTAGCTTTTTCACCTGTTCTAGCAGATGCATGAATGTAACCAGAAAAAGTGTCAACTGTAACATGTAAGTATTTAAGGGTCCCAAAGGAGGGCACATGTGTAACATAAGTTTGCCACAGTTTGTTGCTTGAAAGACCTCGTGGATTAACTCCTCCTGCCGTGGGTAATGCGGCAAATATCTGACAATCCAGGCACCCACGAAGGATATCCCGTGCCTGTGTTCTTGTTAAATGAAAAGATTTCTGTAAAGACAAGGCATTTTGATGATAAAAGGAATGAGACAGACGCGCCTGTTCAAAAAGATTCGGTACCATAGCTGGCATGTGTCAGAGATGGAAATGGTTAATGATTTATGCATTCCAGGAGTTTGCAGGTTTTTGACTTTTGCATTATACCTCGGATGGACAGTTGGGCCTGCCCCTCCCTCCAGTGAAGAGCTGAGCTTGCAGGCTTTTGATTTTTGCCTTACACCTCTGATGGGCATTTGGGCCCATCCCCCCCTCTACCAATCTTGAAAGGCGGGAACCAGACTGGACTCAAAAACTCTGCGTAGGCCCAGGGAGAGGTTGGAGGCTCGAGACATGGCCCGTGACACTAATCATGGATATAATAACTCATAACTTCGTGGAGTGTGAGGGCTTCCCTCCTTCACCCCCAGCAGATGAAGGTCACCACTTCAACTGACAGACATGGAAGCGGCAACTACAAAATGTCATCGCTGGACCCCGTGGGCAGTGACTATATGCATCTTTCCACTCTCATATTTTCTTTCCCTTACTCTCCCTTACCCTTATCCTGTCTTTCCTTTCTCTCCCTTATGCATTTTCCCACCCCGAAGTTATCCCTATGCCATATTGCTACAAATGATATAGATGACAACACCCAAAATGCTACCATGCCTCTTGATACAAAATTGTTGAAATAAACCTTACCAATATATGTTTTCAGACACCGATTATTCAGTATCGTTTCACTCTAATCCACCCCAAGGGAATTATTGATAAAAACCTGAGTTACCCCCTCTCCCCTTTTCCTGGGACGGGTCGTAACAGCATGGTTAACTTATCTGCCACCGAATTACCTTCTACGATTGGTCCTGGCAAGTTGGTATGAGAACGAATATGACAAACAATGATACCTATGATACCTATGCCATATTGAGAGTCACAAACAATTTTTAAAGCTTGGTCACTGAATAACTCAAATGATTTTATAGCCACTGAAAGCTCAACAATCTGTGTTGATACAGAAACCGTAATCACTGCTGATTGCCAGGGAGAGTGATTATCAGGCTTCCATACAACAGCACCCTTTCCCATCTTGCCCGAACTGCCAATAAAAGCAGTGATGGCATTAGCTATTGGAGTCCTGGAACAGAGATCTTGTGGTTGAAAGGGTAATTCAGATAACGACTGTAGAAACCTGTGTCTCGGCAGTTGAAAGACGATTTCTCCTAAAAAGTCAGCAAAGGCAATCTGCAAAGATAAAGATTGCAAAAGTAAACCATGAAAAACATCTTTCTTGAAAGGCAGATAAATTACAGCTGGATCCAAGCCAACCAGAATCTGGCATCGTTGGCACTATATGGACGGTATCTTAATAGCAGCAGTTAATTCAGTGATGGTTGAGCAAATTTTTATGGTGGTACAACAGTCCCTGCAACTTTATGGCTTACAGATAGCACCGGAAAAGGTATAAAGAGAAGCTCCATGGAAGTATTTAGGCTGGAAAGTTTTTGAAACTTGTAATAGGTTTGGGTAGTCAAATAGCACTTCCTTTTCCTGGGAGGAACAGGATATTCCATGCCATGTTACGTCAGCCCAGCTATTTAAACAGTCAGGAAGAAAGAGATCACTCTCTTCTTTTCCGGTTGCCAAGCAAGGCGGTTTCAGGAAGAAAGCATCGGTTGTTTGGGAAGTACCTTTTTTTTCTTAGCTCTTTTTTGTATACATACTGCCTATAGTGCCTATCTTTGTGTAATATAAATAATCTTTCTTAGCGATTTCGATTTCTCGTAGTTTTTTTTCTCCCTTCCCTCTCTCCTCCCCCCCCCCTTCCTCCGCAGAGATGTGGGCGCAGGCCCAGTGGATACCTGGTGTTCAGCCAAAGTAAACGACAACAATTTTGGTGCGTTGGCCAGGAAAACTGCCAAGAAGGATTGTTTATAAGACAACTGCCTCACTTATCTGTTTATACTAAGTCGAGAACATATAGCAAAAACATGGCAATTCGCCCAGTTCTTGTGGGATACCTGTAATTTTACTAACAGTTCTGATAGGGTGTGGAACTTACCCCTTAAAAAACACAGAAGGGAAAGAAATCAACCTTTTTTGTCTTCTTGATTTTGACATAGAAGGCATGGTAATGAAAGCACCCGCGATCCTTACTAATCCGTACTTAAGTTGTTTGTCTCTATTACTGCTTTTAACCAATGCTCTTAAAACATTATGGGGAGTGGGGAAGGTAGTGTTGTTTTTGTTGCCTTGTGCCAGGACAAAACCAACTTTGAGAGAGAATTTCCTGAGATGTTCTCTAAAGGGGCCAGTTCCTGGGTGGCAAGGGATGTGGATGAATTTAGGCAACTTCTCACCCTGTACTGGGGCCTGGCCTGTGCCTACCGAGCTGCTGTTCAATATTCTAAAAAGACTATGACTGAGACAGGGACCCAAACCATGACATCTGAAGTCACTATTGCCCCTGTAGTGAAAAAGAAGACATGGATAAGGAACTCTGCAGGACCTACAGGCCTACCTCCATGATTAGTAAGGGAAGAAGAAGGAGAAGTATCTACCCTGTCCACGCCTCCAAGAGAAGAAGAGGAGGCAGGACAAACAGCCTGTGATCCATTAGAGGGAGCGGGAGCATTTCCACCTCCACTTCCACATGAGAGAAGCAGAGAGGAAACTAGACAGGAAAGCAAAGTTACCCAGTCCCTGACCCCATCAGAACTTCAGGAACTGCGGAGAGATTACAGCCACCAGCCTCGTGAACGAATTCTTACCTGGATGCTCCGATGTTGGGATGACAGGGCTGGTAGTCACCTGTTAGAAGGTCATGAAGCACGGCAACTAGGATCTATTGCCCGAGATTGTGAAATTGAACAGGAAATTGGAAAAGAGAGATTTATTAGCAGTCTTTGGCTCCGGATCCTCTCTGCTGTGAGAGAAAGGTACCCATTTAAAGAAGATCTAATGAGCTCTACAAGAAGATGGACTACTGCAGAGGAAGGCGTCCAGTACCTGCGGGAATTGGCCATGCTGGAAATGATTTACGGTGACCCATGTGACCCCCACTACCAAAATCCAGAGCGTGTTCCTTGCACGCTGGCCATGTGGAGAAAAGTAATTCAAGGTGCCCCTGCATCATATGTTAATTGTCTGATAACACTATATCATCCAAGGATGACTGAACCAAATGTGGATACAATGTGTATCTGGATACAGAGTATAGCAGAAGGTGTGGAAGCCTCCTCACTCTCCTGGGCTAGCAAGTTAGATTTCAGAGACAGCTCCGATCTCCGACACCAACGCACCCACACTAGGGAGAGGATGGAGAGGGCTTATGAATGCCCCGAATGTGAGAACTGTTGCAAAAACAGCCTAAGAAAGCGGTCTCGGTCTCCTCCTGCCCCACTCAGGAGGAAAGGAAACCCCAAGAGCAGGCCACGCAGTGAGCTATGGTTCTTTCTGCGTGACCAAGGGGAAGACACAAAGAAGTGGGATGGTGAACCTACCTATAAACTTGAAGCCCGGGTATGAGAATTAAGAGGGAAAAAACCTAGTAAGAAGGCCATCCACGTAGTTGATGCAGAGGCCCTGGAAAGAGATCAGCGACCTTTGAGATGCAGAAAGACTGAGGACAATTCTTGTGATCCCGGTGAGGAGACCTTTAGCTGGGCAATGCAAGGATCAGACAGTGAATACTCTGACCAAGAACAATAGAGAGGCCCTGCCTTTGGCCAGGAGAAGGAAAGAGATGATAGGGTTTACTGGACTGTGTGGGTTCGATGGCCTGGCACATCGGATCCACAGAGATACAAAGGTTTAGTAGACACTGGTACACAATGCACCTTGATGCCATCAGGGCATAAAAGCACCGAGCCCATTTGGATTTCTGGAGTGACAGGGGGACATCAAGAATTATCAGTGCCAGAGGCTGAAGTGAGTTTAATGGGAGACAAATGAGAAAAGCACCCCATTGTGACTGGTCCAGAAGCCCCTTGCGTCCTTGGCATTGACTACCTCAGGAGAGGATATTTCAAAGACCCAAAGGGGTATCGATGGGCTTTTGGTGTAGCCACAGTGGCTACAGAGAAATTTAGACAATTATCTACCCTGCCTGGCCTCTCAGAAGATCCTCCCATTGTGGGATTGTTACAAGTCAAAGATCAACAAGTGCCAACGACCACTACAATAGTGCATAGACAACAGTACCGAACAAACCGAGACGCTGTGATCCCCATCCATAAAATGATCCGAGAGCTGGAGAGCCAAGTGTATCAGGGAGGATTCCGATCATACTGAAATCTGAAGCCATGACACCATTGAAAGCTCAACAAAACTGATATTTATTACAAAGAAGTGGCTGAAGTAAACGGGAACCCGAGAGAAAGAGAAACCAATGAGGAAATATGACACCCTACTCACTCAGGTGTCATTCATGAGGTTATCTTAGCAACTCCGAATGCCATAAAATCCTCTGCAGCGGCTGTGTTTTTCGGAGGGTTAGCAGGCTCACATGTAGCAGGCATCCCTGCTAAAGACAACTTAGTCCTTTGTGTGGAGCAAGCTTCCCCAGAAAGTCAACTGTCTGCTTTTATACAATCAACTGAGTACGTCTGCCTAGGCAGATGCCAGAGATTCTCAGTCCCACCCCCTTGGTTATGCAAGTGCATCCCTTCAGCATATGCATGAGAACTTTGGAATTTCCTTCCACATGTGCAGTATGCTTCGGGGGTCTTTCCTAATTGAGTCGGAGGTCATTACTTCCTCCCCTCCTCTTCAGTTTCTCCTTCAAATGTCCTTGGCAGATGATGAACCTTTGAGGCAGCTTGTGCTCCCTCATAAGCTGCTAGGATCTCCTTCTCTGTTGGGATGTAGTTGGTTTCAGATCCTCTGTAGGCACTCAGCAACCTTACAGGGGATCTGTGGTTCGTCAGGGGAAAGCTTCCAAACAATTGGGGTAGAATATTCCTTCAGCACCTGACCTATCTCCTCCCATGCTCCCATCCAATCAGGGTGATTTATGTCTAGGGCAGGCTGTTGGACTGTGGCAGGTGGTTGGACCGTGGCAGGTGGTTGGACCGTGGCAGGCTGTTGGGAAGGTTCCTGGGTAGAGTCCCAAGTGTCTGGGGTAGGTCTTGGGGCAGTTACCAAAGACAACCTCACCCTGTCTCTAAATGCTGGGTAGACCTCAGTGAACAAACACAGCAAAAACATCATCAAAAATAGAATATCTTTAACATCCAGGGGAAAATTCAACCCTTCAGAAGCTACTGTGATAGGGCCATATGAGAAGTGGGTGAAGGGTTGGGAAAAAGCATTTGCCTGCGTTCCTCCCCCAAAACAGGTACTATTATCAGTGAAACCCCAAGAATAGGAACCTGGGTGGTGATAGTAATGCAGTTATGTATATATATTCCAAAAGAGAACTACAGGACCAGAATTTTTCAGCCACTGGTACCAATTTACAAACTTGATAGCGACCACAACTATTGCAGCCATGGTGTCCATCTTTAAGCAGTGATCTATAAATGGTAAAACCATATACACGGCCATATGGGACCACATGATGCCTAATGGTGTCTCTATATGCAATACACAGGTAAATTACACAAGAGGGGTTATTCCTTTTCCACCTTTCCTCTGGTCAAGCCGCACGTTGTGTGCCAGTTAAAATGTCTTTGTTTAACAAGACACAAATGTCCATTGGGGGGGCAGAAAAGAAGAACCAACCTCCTCCCTCCACGTTATTACAACTTTGAAATTAAGAGGCTTCAGGTGAAAGGTGTGGAGAAGGAAAATAACAGCTCTTTATTAACAAAACTGAATAAACAAAAATGGTGCAACCAAAACTTTCAAAAAACAAGGTCCTAATTCCCCAGGTGGGGGGACCCCGTGGCAAATCAGGGGGATGGAGGGGGGGCTGTTCCCGGTGGCTCAACAACTGCTCACAGCCACATGAGCGTTGGTGGCTCCACGGCCAACAATGAAAGGGGTTTGGTTCTGGGATTTTTTTCCCACCAGTCCCAGAGCTATGATCCTTGGGTCAGGCAGCTGCAAGAAGATGCTCTGATAAGGCAACCCCATGGTTCAGGGTGTAATACCTCGTGGTGTCTGTCAGGGAAGGGGGGAGGGAAAAAAAACTCATGGGAAAAGAGGGGTGGAGGCCTAAACCAAGGGTGGTTGCCTCTCTGTTGGTCAGTGGACAGCAAGTCCTACAGACAAAGGGGGGTCCGAAGCCTGGCACTGACTGGTTTTAAAGAGAAACCTCCCCCCACTCCCGTGCTGCTCTGCACGTGGCCCTGCTCCTTCCCTCTTCCAGCCTCCCCTCACCCCAGAAAAAACAGATGGAGGGGTGATGGAGGGGAGTGTGTGATTCATATTGGGAAAAAATTTCAACATCTCTTTTCAAACCTATAACAGCCTGGCACATTATAGGACTATTCATCATACCCTGTTGCCAATGCCTAAAATCTTTCTGACACAGTTCTACACCTTTTAAACCATCTCTGGCTGTTAAATAAGACAACCTGACTGTATCACTAAAATAGAGACTTTATTCTGCAGTCCTCTTCATCACCCGGAAAGTGGTGGAATGGCATGCAATGTTTACATTAAGGCATTTTTATCACACCTAGCACAAGAATTTTCAGGCTACTGGGAAGGAGGCATGCATGGATCTATTTTACACACTGTTACTCACGGTTTTCAAACTTATACACTCAACTCAAACTTTTTAACAACACACAATTATTGCTAAATATAAATCGGTATATATTTCTTAAGTGGTGTTAACTTAAACAGTCTCTTCTTTCTTATTTTTAACTTTGGTTGCAGGTGTTTATCACAGGTATCCTTCCGTTGGAGTTAGCAGCTTCTTTACTCACTTTCACAGGTTTCCCAAGGCCACTTGATGGATTCCAGCATTATCTCTGAGGCCTCTTGCTGGGCAGCTGCTTCAGGCTCCCTAGCCTGAACACCTGTTTGGTTTCCCACACCCTGTGGCAACACTACCCATTGATATCATTGCATGGGCATTGCATTATTAATCACAGGCAAAGAGAAGGCAAAATGAGCACTGTCCTTGGGATGTAACAGGATTGTGAAGAAGCAATCTTTAAGATCAATGATAGTGAGAACCCAGTCCCTGGGCAACAGGGTTGGCACAGGAACCCCTGGTTGTAACGGTCCCATAGGCTGCAGTATAGCATTGACAGCTCTGAGATCATGTAACGGCTGCCATTTCCCATTCTTTTTCGATATCACAAAAATGGGAGTATTCCAAGGACTGATAGATGGAATTATGTGCACCGCATCCAGTTGCTGTTGTACGAATTTATGTACCTGGATGAGTTTCTCCCCTTTCAGGGGCCACTGATCGACCCAAACCAGCTTATCAGTTAAACATGTCAGTTTGATCAGGGGAGGTTTTTCAGTGGCCATTAGCATAAATTTGAAGGCTGAATTACAAGCTGTACATTCCTGTGCAAGTTTGGAGCTGGCTTCCCACCAAGTCTCCAAAACTCGACAACAGGGTCTACTTCCCAGAAAGGGAAGGAAAAAAAAACCAAACAGCCAAAGCTATAGCAAAAAATATATTTTACATATAAAACAGATATATACAGTGAAAAAAATATATACCTATAACCCCAGAAACCCTAAATAGCTTCCTAAAAGGGAAGAGGGGAAGGGAGAAGGGAAAAAGGACAAAATAGGATGAAAAGGGACTGAAACAAACCAGGTATACACAATCTAAAAACCCGGTAACGAGTAAAATAAAGAACTGGCAAAATCTCACCACTTCCCTTGAGAGAAGCAGGACGGCTGGACGCGGCCCAGCACTCTCCCCTCATGCGTGGCAGACAACAGCAGTCATTGTAGGCCTCAGCTCCAGATAAGCCAGACCGAGACAGGGACCCACTGTTCTCGAACCTTCCCGGAAAGGAAGAGAGCGAGCTCTCTCCGATCAGCTTTATTTATACCTCAGATTACGTAAAGGAATAGCATGGAATACTTCCTTTGTCACTTTCCTAGTTCCTTCCTGGTTACAAACTGGTCTCCAGGAAGGCCTAGGGTGAAAACTATCACAATTCCACTGCTCCAGCAAATCTCGTCCCCACAGAGAGATTGGAGTGTTCAAAACGAAAGGCTGAAACCAGGTCATCTGTCCTGGACTGCGTACTTGTAAAACATGCATGTTCTGCTTAGGTATCTCAATACCCCCGATTCCCGAAATCATATGTTGTGTATCCTTCAGCGGCCAAGCCGCAGGCCAGACTCAAGCCGAAATTATGGAGACATCTGCCCCTGTGTCAAGCAATCCTGTTATATCCCTATCCTTTACGCACAAAGTTAGCATTAGCTGCTGTCTCATTATTTCTACCGCCCAGTTTATTTGAAGATCGGTGCTACCAAATCCACCCTCTCCTCATTCTTGTGTGTTGCTATTAGGGACCCAGAAGGGCATCAATAACAATTGAGCTACTCACTGCCCTTTACTGAGTACAGAAAAGCCAGACAAGATAGTGAGCATTATTTTCACCTCCCTTTGATAGTCTGAATCAACAAGACCAGGCAACACTAAAACACCTTGTTTTGATATGCTGGATCTGCCAATAATTAATCCTGCCATGCCTTGGGGTAAGGGTCCCCATACATCGGTGCCTACTAAAACAACCTCCATAGGATTATTAAGAGTTACTTCTGAGGCAATGACCAGGTCCAATCTGGCGCTGCCTGAGGTTGCTGCTGATAAATCAGTGACGCGGCATCTGGTGTCTTCCTTTCCCATGTTTGGAGAGGAACCCTGTAGATTTGCCAGGCGCGGGGCTTTGCGCCCCTCTTGGAGTTTCCAGACAGCAGGTTACCAATAGAGTTGAACTGAGATTTACACTGATTAATCCAGTGATAGCCTTTGTAGCACTGAGGGCATGGCTTCAAAGGTTTTTTCCCCCCTCTCCTGATTTTTCTTTTGTGGGCAATGCATACTAATGTATCCTTCCTCCACTCAATTAAAGCATTTCGTGGAGGGGCTATGTAAATGCAAGGTAGACAGAGCCATCACTAACGAATTAGCACAGTGTGTCTCCGTGCCAACACGCTGACATGCCTCAATAAATACCCCCATGTCAGTCGCTTTCCCCTTAATCGGTGCCAAAACTGCCTGGCAATCAGCGTTAGCATTTTTGTATGCCAACTGAAGTAGTAATGTGTTCGCGGCTTTGGTGTTATCTATCTGCTGCAGTATGGCATTTTGCAATCAACGAACGACACATACGACTCCTGGGGTCCCTGCCATGTAGTTGCAAATGAAGTTGACTTAGTCCCTGCTTCAAGAACTCGTCTCCAAGCCCACAAAGATATATGTGAGGCTTGGGTAAAGACCTGCCTGTCTAGTCTGGCTTGGACACTTTCGTTAACATATTGTCCGGTACCAAGCAATATGTCAGGCCCAATGGCAATCCTGTTGTTAAGATTCTCCATTGCCTGCACAGTAGCCAACTCCATGTATTCTAACTTCCAGACTGCATATTGTGTGGCACTAAGAACAATCTTAGCCAGCGTCTGCCAGTCCCAGGGCATCATAATATAAATAGATGAAATACCTTCAACTAAACCTATTGTAAATGTCCCTTGCACCCCGTTTTCCTGCACAGACCGCCTTAATTCCGAGAAAGCCTTGTACGGAAGCCCCTCATGCTGAGGTGGCTGATTTGGGTGATATGCAACAGGGAAAGCTAAAAAGGAAAGATCACCAGCTTCCAAAGCCTTAGCTCTGCATCTTTCCATTGCAGTGGTCCTAGTGCCTGCCGACGTGGCTTCCCCATTATACTGCAGAAAAGGACTGGGGGGGCGATGGCAATTGTGGTTCACAACAAGCCTTAGGATTAGGGAGGACCCCACTGGGGGGAAATTACCATGATAAAAGGTAGGAGAGGGACCCCCCCATATGGGGGAGAGTACCAGGATTAAAGGAAGAAGACAGAACCCCCGGTCAGAGGGAGATTAGCATGATGAGTGGCAGAAGACAAAGCTCCCGTCGGTGGGGAATATAAGTTAGGTTTATCAGCGGAACCGACAGAAGTGGCAGGTAATACATTGTCTGCTCCCTGAGAGGGATTGTTCGACAAATCTAACGGAGCGGGCAGGTCCAATATTCCTATATCAGGTTCTGTTACTTTCAAAGGTTGTAAAGCATGCATAAGCAAGGAAAGCAGATTCAGAAATAGCAGCACCGGGTTTTTTCGGGCTTGCAAACATTTACCGATCATCATTAGGAAATCAGTCATAATGTTCCTTGACTGACGAAAATCCCCCAATTGCTTATCCGTAACCTTATGTCCTGCTGCATTTAAGACCTGTTGCAAGACCTTTAGGTAAAGCCTGTGTTCTTGGGAAATTCCCTGCCCCATTGTTACTACACGACTCTGCAGATTCCTGTCCTGCAGGCTCTGCTGTCCCATTCTAACGGGATGAATGCCAGCACTTACCACCTCTGTCAAGTCAAGGGAGCTGAAAGAGTGTCCCGTAATGCAGGTTGCACGTCGCGGTCACCAAATATGGGTGCTGAAGGAGAAAATGAGGATGCACACACAGAGTTCGATTTCGGGACTTGTCCACCGACCCTTTTCGGGGTTCCTCTTTTATTCATATTCTCTAGTAAACAGTACCTGGTGTTTTTCTTTTAGTTAACTGGAATTCCCAAGATCGTTCCAAACCAGTGCCTTGATCCCACACATTCACACTCGCATCACTTGGTGGCTGTGTTCAGCCACGAGAGAAAAACACACTTATCATGCAGGCTGGTTAAAATGGTTTTCCACTTTGACATAACATTCTCTCTCTCAAAGCACTTAGCCAAGGTCAATCCTCCCTTTTGATTCTGATTAACTAAATGCAGGTGGAGAGTAACTCAGCTTGTTCTCACATGCTTGCCACATCCTCACCTTCATATGTGGAGGGTGTCATGCTGATGGTAGCACAAAAGGATAAAAGGATTCATGACTCCTTATTAAAACATTCAGATAGAGAAAAAAATGAGAGAGACAAATTTCTTCAAGTTTTGGTTGACTCCTCACAAAAACATTTACAAGATTTGGTTGACTTCATACAAAAATGTTTAGATAAAGAGCAAGAAGAGAGAGCAAAATTGCAATCTCTGCTGCATATGGAAAGGGACCATACCAGACAAATGCACTTTGAGCTTTGTAAGGCTGCAGAGTGGAAAGATATATTGAGAGAGACATTGGATACCCTGGAAGGGACTTAGCTGCTCAGATAAGGAATTAGCATGTGAAAGGAAGAGGTTCAATCAGGCCATGAAACTTTTAGAAACAAAGTGATTAACCCAGTAAAGGAATTGGAAGTAGTGGGGGGTGAGGAGAATGAGGAGAAGAACAACAGGAGTGACAGGAGTATCACAAGGAAGCAAAGACAGTGGAAAAGGGAGAGGCTGTAGAAGGGTAGGCAAAGTCAGCTATTGAAGAGAAGGCAATAGTAGAAGAGACAGCAGAAGTGCAGGGAGCAGCTGCTGTGGAGCAGAAAAAAGTTGCAGAAGAGGATGCCCAGGGATACTGAGGACCATGGGTTTTCCAAAGGGCAAATGATCGTCATGAAACCCGGTGTTATTGTTTACCTTGGCTGAATGCCAGGTATTCACTGGGCCTGTGCCCAACCTCCCTCTGGAGTGAAAAGGGAGGAGGAAAGGGGGACAAGAAGGGGAAAAGAAAAAACTACAAAACCGAAACTGCCAAGAAAAATGGCTTTATATGTACACAGAGAGGAAAAAAAATATAAACACTATACACACAGAGAAGAACTAACAACAAAGATTGCTTCCTCACAACAAACGTTCTTCTCCCCTGAAGAAGCAGCCTGTCCACCACCGCGCAGCTATCTGGAAGAGAAGAAAGCCCTTACTTCCTTCCCGTCTTTTATTTCTGAACTGATGTAACATAGTATGGAATATCTTATTGGTAAAATATACATCAGGTGATCTATCCTAGTTCCGTTTCCCTCTCAGAGAGGGTAACAAACCCATTATGATAAAGAACATCGTATCCACACCAAATGGATAGTGCCTTCTTTTTAAAAAATGGTTGAGGACTGGGAATTTTCCCTTTCTCTTTTCCTACAGGAACTACGATGGAGAAATTAACTTCATAGTGTAGATCAATATTAATGTCAGGAATTTTGTCCATGTGTTGCTGTTGTATCCCTGGTTGTTTTATAATTTGTACCTATCACTATTGACCAAGATGTTTTATCAATGTGTCCTTGTCTAACTCAACTCTCTATGGCCAAGGGGAAGTCTCCCTTTCTCCAGCCTTCCTTTCTTACCTCCAAGGTCTGGGATTCCTGAGGGCCAACCTCAGCAGTAAAGACTGAGGCAAAGATGGTGTCCCAGTTACAGGAATAGGAGGCGGGGATTATGTGGGTGTGACTAAATTGTGTATTCTACCCACTCTACGTCATCTCTGGGGGACAGTCTCTTTTTAAGCCAGCAGGCAGAAGGTAAATTCCACCATATTTTTTTCCCGGGGTCCTGAGGGGAGGTAGCAGCTGCCGTTTCTTCGCAAGCTCCACTCCACGAGTCTCTGCTGCGGCTGCTGCCACCACTGCCGGCCAAGAGAGGACGGGCCGCCATGCCACTGCTGAAGGATTTTGCAACTCTTGGCTGTGGCACTGCCGTTTTCAGAGCGAAGGAGCTTCTCCATTCCCTGTTTGCCGCCACCATTGCTGCAGCCGCTGCTTTCACTGTTACTGTTCCTGGAGTTGTAGCGTCTGCCACCGAAGTCGGAGCGAGTCTGCGAGTCATGACTGTTATTACTGCAGTTGCTGCTGCTACTGTTGC